CTGACTCTTCAATTATTCTGACTGAGCCAGATTATCCACCAAAGCGTATCAAAATCTCTGAAGCAGACGTAGAAATTGTAAGTCTGGATATCGGCAGCTATGAAGGTCAGCTACAATGTATTTCAGACAAACTCAGGTATGAACTGTTGACCAATCATTGGCAACCGCCAAGGGGATACGAATTTCCTTTTTCGGTGAAGGGAAAAGGCGACAAGTCTGAGAGGCGGTTTGCAAGCCAAAAACACTTGGAGCAATTTCAATGGCTAGCATTATCAGATGTGAAGAAAGGGTTTTATTGTAAAGTATGTGCCCTGATGAACAGCTGCGCCAAAGGTGGACAGCACAGCCAGATTTCATTGAACACCTTAGTGAAGGAACATCTTACATGTTTTAAGAAGTTGACTGGTAAAGATGGCGCTCTTACATCACACGAATGCACTTCTTATCACCCCTCGCGCTCAACACGACGACGGTTAAAGTAGTCTCGGATGCTTTTAGGACTAGAATTGTATTCTTCTGTTGACCTACTTGTTTTCGCTTAGTAACGAGAACTCTTGTCCTTTTCTGAAAGAGGATATGTGGAGACCATCATTCTCTGTGGCAGGCAAAACATCCCTCTGAGAGGTCACCGAGATGATGGAATGATTGAAATTGATGAAAATCCTGCATCAAATGATGGAAACTTCAGGTCTCTTTTGCGATTCAGGGCAAGTGGAGATGCGCTTTTATCCGAACAATTGAAAAATGCAAAATCGAATGCAACATACATCAGCAAGACAACTCAAAATGAGTTGATCAGCATAATTGGGAGACATATCCAAGAAAGAACAGTTGCAGATATCCACGGATCCGGTGCATTTGCCGTCATCTTCGATGAGACAACTGACCTGAGTAAGACTGAGCAAATGTCCCTCGTTGCTCGGTACATAAAGGATGGAGAAAAATTCATGAAGACTTCCTCGCATTCGTAGACTGCTATCGGTCTGGGATTCTGCAGCCGTATACAGAACCCTCGCTGACTGGTGAAGTCCTAGGACGAATCGTCATAGAAGAACTTCAAAATCTGAAGTTGAATTTATGTAATTTGGTGGCAGTCGGTACGGATGGTGCATCCGTTATGACATCTATCACTTGTGGAGCTGTGAAAACCATACAAAAAACGGCACCACTTGCAGTGCATTCTGTCTGCTCCAGTCACAGTTTGAATTTGACATTATCTCGAGGATGTGGAGTTCCTTTAATAAGAAATGTTATGGGAACAATAACATCTGTGTGCAACTTCTTCAATTCCTCAGCCAAAAGATCGAAGATTTTGGAAGACAACCTGCGAAATTCCAGCTGTCATTTGCACTTGATAAATCTTTGCAATACTCGGTGGGTGGAAAGGCATGACTGTATTCTCCTCTTCATTGAAGTACTCCCTGACGTAATTCAGGCTCTATCAGACGTCACCATGTGGAGAGATTCTTCTTCAGCGAATTCGGCATTCTCCCTGATCAACTCACTGCAAACATTCGACTTCATAATTGCCCTCTACACTCTGGCTGACGTCTTGACCATCACCCTGCCCATTGCCAGGAGCATTCAAGCGGAGGACATGGACTTAGTCTCTGCATTTGAGCAACTCGACGCATTGAGAGCAACATTGGGAACGTGGCGTCAAGAGGCGGAGACTGCTTTCTCGAAGATCTTTTTAGAAGCTGCAGGTGAGGATCTGAGCCAGTGACATACCATTCGATCTACAGTATTCGCAGGATTTCTCATTTTATATTGGACGTTTTCCTTCAGAAAAGGCTGAACTTCTTGGGATTGTTGTGAAGTTACCTCGGACTTCTCAACAAACCAAGCGTTTCGATGCTCCATCGGCATGCCCAGAGGAATATTACCGACGTGCCTTGTTCATCCCGTTTCTCGATGATATCCTGATGGACTTATCAAGTCGATTCGGTATAGAAAAGAGGAAATTTGCCAAGTTGTCTCTCTTGGTTCCTATCCACTTGATTCAAAGAGGTTTGGCAGTTTTCAACAGCGATCTGTTCGAAAAATGTTCTACTATATTTATCTCTTCTCAATTAATTGTGCTTTCGAACAGAGATACCCACGTCTGAATGGGAAGAGTTGGGAGGTTTCTACTGGAAACTGTTGACTCCAATCGGACGTGAAGCCGCTGTGAGGATGCTGTACTCAGAAGTTCGCTCTTGGCGAGAGAAGTGGTTACATGCATCAGAACCACCCAAGACAGCCTTGGAAGCTTTGGCCGCCTGCAGCAAANGCGGACTGCTGCGTAGGGCAGAGGTGAGGGCGTGAAGGGGCGAGAGGAGGTCCGCTATTACTACTCGGCGTAGTAACTCGGGGACTCTTCCCCTCTGCTCATCCATGGGCACGAGGAGGACTCCACAGCCAAACCGCGGCTCCCGAGGAGTTGAAGTGCGGCTCGCGGTGAATGCTGGGTGAAGAGCAGTATTCTTAATGCGTCCGCCAACCCCCCCCCTCAGCGGACCGTAGCCCCCCTCTGTTTCTCTTAGCCCCCCTTTGGCAAAACCCAGGCTAGGCCACTGCTTAGACGCGAGCGTATCCTGTTGTATATCACATAACTGTGGTATAGGAAACAAAGGACCCTTATTTGCCTATTTGAGCTTTCACTACATTCGATTGGATCCGAACTTTTTCTTATTCCTTGAGCGATCTGTACTCGCATGCATCTCTGTCGATTGAGGAAATCTGAAACAATGATAAGCCAAAGATGCAGACACTGTAAATATTAAAACTTGCTGAACAGGTTTTTAAACTTTCCATGGATGTCATCAGTGCTGCATTGCAAGCTTTCGCAAATTAATCAAGGTAAGAGATGGAAACGTGTTCAGCCGATAGACGGCTATACTCCTGCAAGCCACTACTGAATGATCATGCTTGTTTAAACAAGCTTTAAAGCAGGCGCCTTTCTCGCCACCCTACGTGCGAGATTTCATGTGCGTGGGAGAATTACGAGATAAGAAGAGGAAGGCCCTTGCTGCACATGCGTTATTGGGGCGTGAAAGAGTTTCGCCCTGTTAGTTCTCCTTGGGTGTGCAGAATAGCGCCTTACTGTAACTGGAATTCGTCAGTGTTTACCAAGGTTTAGAGTCTGCAAGTTAAAAGTTCATCAATTTAGGATTGAGTGCCTTCGTTTTGGGGAGACAATGACAACGAGTGAGCCCTCGACTAGTGAGAAGCGAAAGTATGAGCTAGTAAACCAGATTCCATCTTCGCGGCACACTACGGAGAGACGTATCTCCCAGATCAGTGCTGATGTTGCAACGAAGATGCAAAACGAGTTAAAGAACTCTCTGGCATTCAGCTTGGCTGAGCACTGGATAAGTCCACAGACATCCAAGGCAAACCGCAACTAGCAATATTTGCTTGCTATGTTTCAGCCGACATGGATGTAAAAGAATAAATGTTGGACTTGGTGGCACTGAAAGAAGCAACTCGCGGCGTTGACGTTAAGGACGCATTGGAGAGTGCATTGGAAAATGCTGGTGTACCCTTGGATAAACTTGTCAGTGTTGCAACGGACGGAGCTCTTGCAATGGTGGGAAAAAATGTAGGCCGTGTCGGACTCTTGAAAAGTGATCCAAAGTACCCAGAGTTTCTCCCTGTTCATTGCATCCTCAATCGTGAACAACTCACAGGCAAACACTTCAAGTATGAAAATGTCATGGAAACGATCCTGCAAATTGTCAATTTCATCCGCTCGAACGGGAAGACCCACCGGCAGTGCAAAAAATTCATAGAGGAGCTTGATCTTGAAGACAAACCAGACGACGGCTCCTTCTTCTGTGTGGTAAGGTGGCTATCAACCAACAATGTATTAACTAGGTTTGTGGAACTGCTGGAACCAATCACGGCGTTCCTTGAAGAGAAAAAGACCTATCCACAACTGGAGGATCCACAGTAGTTGGCGAATCTGGCGTATCTCACAAATGTTATGCAGCATCTGCAGTCTGAATTTGGCACTCCAGGGACAGGGTAAACTCATTTCTGACCTTGCTCAGACTGTCTTCAGCTTCCAGAACAAGCTGAAGCGTCTGCAAAGGGACTTAAAGTTCAGAGCTTTTAGTCATTTTCCTCGCCTCAAGAAAATGGAAGAAGCATTCCCTGAAATCGAAGTACCTGTAGAACAGCGGAAATTCGAGGAATATAGCAGCAACTTGCAAGGATTACTGGATGGATTTTCGTGTCAGATTTGAAGACTTGCGGAAGTTGAAACCCTGCTTTGCCTTTCTGGTGAATCCATTCATGGCTGATGTGATTAACGACGGCTGTCCAAAATCCCCAACCCCCTGGTATCGGATACACCTGCTGTAGAAATGGAAATGCTGGAACTCCAGGAGGATGAGGCCCTAAAGATGGTGCATAAATCAGAGTCTACCATCGAGTTCTGGAAACAAGTGCCAGGATCGAAGTATACACAACTCAAAAAGACTAGTGGGCGACTCATATCAATATTTGGCACAACATAATGCTGCGAGTCGCTCTACTCCGTGCTCAAGTTCGTCAAATTCAAGCACCGTGCGGTCCTTACAGATCAATACCTCACGGAGCTTCTCCGCACCGCCCTGACAACATATCAGCCCGACTCCAAGCTGCTCACGTCCAAGATGGAGACCCACAAGGCGTCCAGCAGCAACTAGTGGTGTTGCAATGAGTGGATGTGAATCTTTTGTAAACATTGGAAATCTGGAATAAAATTGGAGGATGCATTGCGTATTAGTGTATGTCTTGCGGCTCTCGGCCATATAAATATTTCGTTATGCGGCTTGTCAGGTCAGGAAGTTTGGCCACCCCTGTCATAGTGACTTGATAATTGCTCTCTATTAGTTCGTCTGTTCGTGTTGTTTGTATGTTGACATTAATCCCATTTCTGCTTCTCAAATCTCATCAATGACATTGTTACTTGTAAACTGCACAAGCTGTCCAAGCAATCGAATTCAACTTCCTTAAACCTAAAACAACAGTATTTAATATAATCTACTCGTTTATAGTAAGACCTATAAAATCCACAATCCACTCAAAATGAAAGACATGAGTTGCCTAACCTTTGCCCCTTGCACCGCCTGCACTCGTTACAGGGCATTTGGCACCTGGTGTCAGCAAGGATCACTATGTTGAGAGTACCATCTGACTTGGATCCTGCCAGGGTTTCCCACCACCAGGAAAATTCCTGGACCCCATGATCAATTCTGATCCTGTGAATATCCCTAGAGTACCTCTTAGGTCAGAAGATGAAAGGAAAGTGTAATGTGTGGCATTCTTGGCACAAGTTCGTATAGCAACCGGTTCTATGCTGGCATGTACAGGTGCTGCCTCCCACTCCGCTTATCAAGTAGTCAGATCCATCCGCCAAGAAGGGTAGTAGTAGTAGTAGTAGAGAACTGACAGCACTGGTTGCAGACACGGCACCGCGCCCAAGTCCCTGGTCATCCGCGCATGCTCATTGAGGTACATGTCCTGGAGGTATTCATGCCTTCCCCTCCGTGACCTAATTTCATATCCAAAATTTGCAATAAAAATGCCATTTTTGGTGCAAATTCGCCATTAAAAGAACTCAGCCTGGATCTTGTTCATATCTATCCAATAGCCAATTTTCAAATTGATCAGGCCAATATTTTTTTAAAGCTATCTTTGGACAAGCAAGTGTGACCCACGGACGGATAGGATGGGACCATAAGTGGTCTCTCCTTTCAGGAAAAAATGCCCACTAAAAAAGGAAATATTATTTTCATAACTGCATAAGCATTTTAGCATAATTTCAGCCTTCAGGTGTTTTTCAACATCTTAGATGTTGCTGTGGCAGGAGGGAATCTTGGAGTAAAGCATGTGATCTGCAACAATCCACCAGATAGCTTCCTTCCATGAAAGAAAAACATCCTTTATTCATAAATGGAACTGAGATCACCCAGAAGACCCATCACATAATTAGCACTTTGCACAAAAACTGAACCACCATGCTACAATAACCATCACATCTATGTGCTGAAGGCCACAGGTTCCACAAAAAAAAAACAATCAATGCTGCTCACACTATCTTTTCCCTTCATCATTAAGGCTTCAACAATTTCTATCAAGGAAGAACAAGCAAAGGTGCCCACCCTGGCACCTAAGGTGTGGAAATATCCCACACCCAACATATAACTAGAACTTCACATAAAAAATTTACAATAAACTGATGGTACCAGTACTTTAGTTGCATCCAAAATGCTGCATAAATATGAGATCATTCAAGACAGGATATTTACAAACTTTAGCTCAAGAAGCATGTAGACCTACCTGAGCCATAGACCTCCTGTGTATATATATGGAACATTTAGCCTTTGATACCAACTTCAAGAACCTAAGTTTGTATGGTGCAATTACAAGATCTAAACCAAGATCCAACACTTCATTGCAGTATTTCAATCTGAAGCATTGCATTCTCTTCATGACTAGTAACATTGAAAAAACTTACACATAGAGCAGAATCTTTGCATTCTTATGCAAAGATTACTTTTGTAATTTATTTGGTGCTGGTATCTGCAAGCCATTGGAATCATTGGATATAGTACAATACCATTCATGTGATGGGGGAATTGAGAGAGAAACCCTGAAACAAATGATCAGCTTTCATATCTCAATGAGACCACACATGTCAAACACAGTCAAACAGTGATGGCTCAAGCTCTGCTTGCAATTGGATATACTTTTTTTTCCATGAGAGAGTGGATGCTCCCTCTCTTTGACTTACCCAACAAGAATGCTTTAGATCATTCAGATCATGAGAAATATAATCACAGACATCATATGCTGGAACAATACAGAAAACACTAACATTTTGCAACAACACATTGGCAAGAGCTTTCTCGAATAATTTTTTTAGCAAGAAATATGAACACCCACACAGAAAAGGCCTATCTGATCTACAAAAATTGGGAACACTGCAATTGTATCTTATAACTTCCTCAACCCCTCTTCCCTATCTGGAACTGTAAATCCAGTCACTATAGTTCCCTAACCCCAACTAACAATCCTGCATTTAACACCATCATGAGCAGAAACCCTGTTCAACCTGTTGTGTCTATCTATGTAACAAAAACAGTCACAGGTACTGTGTTGCAATCATCACAGGAAGATATAGAGTTTTGAAAATCAAGCATCAAAGAACTTTCATCTCTGAAGCTCCCATCTGAGGTTCCAAACAGGTTGGTAGTAGAGCTGGAACTTTGTTTCTTGCTATTCTAGGGATCACACTGATACCAAGAAGCCTAAAACCACTAATAGTAAACGCCAGTAGTGGAAGACAGATTAATGGACAAGGTCTAAAATACTTTTCAAATTCAAAATCAGATTTCCAGGTTCTGTAACAAAGTGAAAGTGGAACTACTCTAATTTCTGCTTCCCACCCTCAAGAACAAGGCATTACTGGGGAATTAGGCATTCCTGGGGACTTTGCAAACTTGCATATCTCCTTGTTTTAAAGATTTCCCTAAATTTGCAAATTTTCACATTTCCACCATTACCATAGAAGAACGAGGCAAAAAAAAAAAGAACATAGCACTTTTTTCATGGAAACAATGAGGACTAGGGAGATTTGGCTACATGAAGGCTCACACTGCCCATCACTGGCTTGATTCCTAAACCCACACTGGAATTTTCTCTTTTGGAAATAATAAGGTACAATGAACTTTGGTGTACCCTTGCAAGACCATTCATGGCAGACTTGCCTGACTAAACTTAGACATAGGATAAGAGAGATTGCATGATGAACAGATACAGACAATAAAAAACAAGTCATCCTGTTTAAGGAGACTAACTTTTCTCACATGAACAAACTCTGCCCCTACAGTGTAGGTGTGGCACATTTCTTCAGTCTGTGATACCACTTCTTGACTGCTACTGAGATGTTGGATTCATTTTGAGCTGCAAATAAGGAGAGAATTCTTTCAAAGCAATGAGAAAGGAAATGGCCTTCCTTATAATGGATGAGACATTGATTGGAATAACAAGAGCTTCCTCACCAATTATGATGACGCTGCCAGTTGCATGGATGACAAAGGAGACATGAAGCTCTTCATCTCGTACATTCAGGCCTGGACTGATCTCTGGTTCATAGCTGCAAGAAAAAAACAGGCACCTTTGTGTGACATGACAGTTTTCAAACTAGCAACATGAGAGGCTCAGAAATCACTAAAAATATTAACTCCCATTGAAAAGGGTCTAAGGGCTAACACCACATTTATAAGCTCATTGGCAAAATCCCATCCTCCTGACACAGCAAAATACAAGTAAATGGGTAAAATTCAACAGTGAAGATGGAGAAAGGAAGGACTCACCTGGCATTCTTGGGAAAGGAAGCAACCACTTCATGGTTCTTGCAAATGAAGGGAAGCCTGCATGTGGCCATAACATTTGTGATCTTGAAATACTTCATCTCTACATGATAGCCCAACTTCTTGATCTTGCAAATGACTTTCAGAAAAGCTACTCTGCACTCCTCCTCACTACAAAAACAGTCAAATGGGAAAGAAGACTGTGAATTGATGCTGATATGTTTCCCCCATTCATTTTTTTTTATATTCAAAGGAAAAATATTCTATCTATGCTGGATGCCAACAAAAGTAAATGTCAGATGAGGAGGGTAAAACCATCTGAATTTCAGATAGTACCTAAGTTTGGACAATATCACAAACATCATTACAAAACCAAGCATTGGTGAACTCTCCCTCTGAAGCAGTTCTTTGCACTCAGAAGAGCTGTTTCTGAGGGTGACCTCAAATGCTTTGTTTTATAATAATCTATTCTATGGTGTCTGAACTCAGGTATTATCTGAACTTAGATGGTTTTACCCTATTTCATTGTAGTAGTGAATGATTTAGGAAAAAATTAAATGGTACAATAACAATTTGGGCAAAAGTCAATCCATCCAGTTTTAAAAGCTCATGATGTAAATAATCAGAATCTGGTTCAAGTCTGTGGCCAGACACCTATTGGTATTGAGTCAATATTCCACAACAAATTTCACTTTATTGTGGAAATTATGCCATAAAAAAACATGGGCGTTGGGTGGCTGGGAAAGAGAAAACCACCTGGAATCCTGAGCCTCATTCGAGGCAGAGCAACACATGGCCCTCCTACTCTGAATTCATGTCCTAGCAAGAAAGGGAATGAGACAGGGTCATAGTGAATGTGTAAGACAGGAGCAAAGAAGGGCCAGACTGCCTTTGGGCACTGGATCTGACAGGCCAAACACCTTCTCTTTTCCTTGCCCCCACACTCAGGGCTTTATTTGGAAGGGTATAGTATCAATCCAAAATAATAGATCCTGAGGTCTAATTGTTGCAGAGAAATCATTGGTCAAAGTTACAATAGCAATAGCAAATAGCCCTTGAAAAGAACTTACCAACTGTATGTATCATGCATATACAGGGTGTTCATATTTAATTGCAACATAGGGAATATTTTGCCTCCTGTAGGTGGAGGTCATCAAATGCTATAAGACCCACTGGGTTGCATATTATATTTGCTGGGCCATACAACCAGCCATTCACACGTTAGTGAAACTAACACATGCATGGCTAGTCAGAACTAATCATGGCTAGTGGCGGTCAGGAATGGCATGTGGGTCAAAGATCAAGATTCAAGGTGATCAAGGTGACCTTGGCTTTAAAGGCAAAATAGGTTTTTGCAATTAAGCTGTTAAATATTTTTCGAAACCAATGAAAACAACTCTCTTGCTTCACTTGATTAAGAAAGTTACTGAACACCACCTTAGTCCAAAAAATATTGTTCAAATTGTACCAGTCCATATCTTCAGTCATATATTGTCATACACTGTGTCAAATATTATGTCAGCCAATAAAATAAAATTTTTGCATATAAAAATGCATAGGCTTCATCACACCTTTAAATATTCAGCAAAACATTTAACTGACATAATACTGCACGATGGTTCCCTTGTTTCTTGCACACCTCATATGAAGCAGCAGGTTATAATTAGAGGAGTCAGCATTGCACTCACCTGTCTCCACCAACAACTACCATTTTCCCATTTTGAAATACATTGATGCACACTCGGGGGTTGCGCAAGCTGATGCTCAGATACTCTCTCTTGAATATGACATTAGGGATGCTCAAAGCAGCATGATGAAGAAGGTCTAGCCTGCAGGGTGTGAGAGTGGCTGTAGCAGAGACATTCCTCACATTCACCTGGATCATGACCAAGTGGGATGGGGGAGGCTTCATATCCTGCACCTTTTCCTCTTTCAACTTTTCCTTCTCTGACATTCTCTCACCCTTCTCGTCTTGACATGTTGCAGATTTCCTGACACGGCTTGGGGCACTTCGCTTTCTGGAGCATGCATTTCTCACTGCAACTGCACTTTGCTTGGGTTGTTTCATAAAATGTGAATTCTTAAGTTCATTACTTTCTCCAGTTCTTGGTTCGGTCTTCAGCTTTGCATCTAACATCCTTCCATGATCCCTCTTAGGGTGGCTTGAGAATGGTGTCTCTTTTTGAACCTCACCTGAATGACTTTGTCCACTTTTAAGGACACCACCTTTCTTGGCTTTATATTGTAGTGAGGCTTGATTCCTCCCAGATCGAGGGAGACGTTTTGAACCTTTCATATGTCCACTTTCATTTCTTTTATTTAAAGCTCGTGAGCTGCTCTTGGCTGTAGGGCAAGTCCTCTTTATTGGAGCCTTGGTCTCCATGTTTTAGTATTCCTGCCATGAGAACAGCCTCTGATTTATTCCAGAAAAACTACGTTTTCTGCTTAGACCATATGTCACATTAAAATATTCAAGCTGCACATTCAACTGTTGGGCACACTAGAGTAAACAAGTATTGAGATTGAGAAGTTCAAAAATGATTACCAGTATCAGGACTGCATGTTTCTCAGAATTCTTTTATTTTTGTGGAAAATATATCTCTAGCACTATGAGCATCATCTTTGGATATTGTGACCATTTATGAATGGTCAGAGATTGCCCTACCCCACTCTATTCCTGAAAGGTACAAAAAGTATATAAAAGGAGTTCTATCCAAATCCAGAAAAACTTTCAGAATAGTTCATGATTACATTATGAAACTGAAAAAGTATTAAGTATGGTTCAATATAGATTTAAACATTAATTCAGGCTAAAATCTTTGAGGGTGAGTGAGGACAATCCTCCACAAATGCTAAAATGCAGTCTTCCTGGCAATAAATACCCACATAAGCCTCTTGCTTCTTAAGAAAACCTTCATATTATTGCCACACAAAAATAACATCCAATTACAATAGTTGCAAGAAACTACCCAAAAAAGATCACTATGATTCTTCAGGAAGGACAGTGACCTCAAATACATTCTTCCCTCGAACAACAGACATTCGAAGTTCTTTGCCACTCTCTACAATCTTGTTAACATCAGATGCAGAATAGAGGGGTGTTCCATTGATGTGTGTGATTATGTCAGCATTTTGGAGACCAGAGCGTCGTGCTGGAGACCCTTGAATGACTCGAAATACCAGGACACCATGGGTAACATGAGATGGAAAGGATGAAATCCCGCGCTGTTCAATGATTCGAAGGATGTTGGGTGTCAGTGTGATCATTGTGATACCCACATATCGCTTTCCACTTGCCACACGGCCTGGTGTTTCAGGGGATATCATGCCTATTAAAACACAATAAAGATATTCTCAGCATTACTCTCACTACTTAACAGAATAGTACAAGATGAAATAATTAGAGAAGCAAATAACTTGGACCCAAACAAATTGCAAATTATTATCTATTCTAAATAATAATAAACTTAAAATAAACTGACAAGAAAAAAAGTGATCAAAAGTTTCATGTAAAAATTAGGCTTAGGAAAATTTATAATTGATAATTTACTATGGGGCTGTAATTTTTTTTAATTTGCTGGAAAATCTGTGTTTATACCACATTCCATGCCAATGTAATGCACTTAGGATTCACTGGTTTGAATTCATGAAGCAAAAAACCTGTCTAATGAGGTAATAAAGGTTTGTCACCTCCAAAAATTTTCAAGGAAGAGATCAATTTAGAATAACTGTTCGTGAATGAGAAACCATGAATTAATAGGGGACAAGGAAGACATAAACTACAATAATTTCTGTGGGATTTGGTCTACCAATATCCCAGAAGAATTGATGACATCCTCAGAGAAACAGTAAATTGGAAGGGGAGGTATAGAGAGAACCAAAGTGTACCTGCTTTTCTAGCAGCAATCTCAGCAATGAATTGCTTGGCATGGTCAGATGGGATGGCAAATGATATCCCTTCTGTCACCTTCATGGCATTTATGCCAATCACTTCACCATCCAAGTTTACCAGAGGACCACCTGAATTTCCAAAAGTGATGGCTGCATCAGTCTGGATGTAATCTATGTCCTGATGCTCAAGTCCAAGTTCCTTGCTCCCTCGATTCACTGAACTAATCACACCAACTGTGATGGTATTATTGAGAGTAAGAGGTGAGCCCATGGCAACAACCCATTCTCCAGGCCTCATCTTGGATGACTCTCCAAGAGACAGTGTGGGAAGTCCTTTGCATGGAATTCGAACTGTTGCCAGATCAGACAAACGGTCCACAAACTCCACTCTTCCAGTAAATTCCCGCCCATCTTGGAGCTTCACAATGAGGGAACTGTGTTGTTTCTTGGTGACCACATGCGCATTGGTCAAGATGACTCCATCAGAGTCAATTATGAATCCAGATCCATTAGAAACTGTGAGAGGTTTCCCCGACACCCAATCCCTGAGACGTGTGTCACGCACTTCAATCAATACCACTCCTGGGGCTGTGTACTCCACTACATCTGCGATGAAGTTGTATTGATCACGTGCAGAAGATTGCAAAATTTTATCTTTTTCAGATGGTCGTGCAGCCAATACTCCTCCACTACAGTACTTGTATATGATGTATGAAAATGAGGAGAAACTAATGGCAAGAGATGTCATCCCAAGAGGGGAACAAGCACTTTTTTGTAAGCGTTGAAAAGTTGCCATTTGGTTCAAAGGCATTGTCTGTGGTAGATGAAGTTTACCAATCCTTGTTAGTATTCGACGAAGAATCATTTTCCCTTAGCTGCAAGGGACTGCTCAAAACGTGTCAACTGCTGATCCCAGAGGACAAGCTTCTTTGATATCACATCAACCTGGATTTAACAATAGTGTCAAAGAAAACAGTGTGAAAAGAAAAAGCAGCATTCATAATGCAAAAAACCAAAGTCTCAAGTCAAATCATATTGACTGATATAAAACAAGATGTTTATGATAACATTCTAAGCTGACAAAACAAATACAGAACACTTATTTTAAAAATCTACAGGGTGGCTCAAAAAAACCAAGCTATTGACTTCAACATGCTGTAAATCAGGCTGCAGTGCCTTGATTTGAGTAAGCTTTTATGTACACATGAAACAACTCTTTTGCAGAAGATATAAAATTATATGGTATGATATCACATATTTTTTACTTCATCCAGATGAAAATGGCATCCCCATTTGGAAACTACTGCATCAGTACCTGGCTGCCATTTGAGTTGGAGCAAAGACAGCTGTTGTTATTAAGAAAACACTTTATCTTCTGTAACAATGTTTTAAGATATGTTTCTCCTTCTCCCAGATTGTTTTTTCTAAAGCAAAGCAATGGCAGCTACATGCATGAAGACTTGGTGGTGATCAAGCAAGACCTTGTGATTTTAAAAACAGGATCACCAACTTGAAAGGAAGGTAGTTGAAGGCCCAGAACCCGAAGAACTGAAGTGAATGCTGAAAAAGTTTAAATGCATGTGTTGAGTCAGGAGGATCAACCTGAAAGTTTGTGTTATCAGAAAGTTCATTAATCATTTTTCTGACTTACCATCCCCTTTAAACTCAGGTCTTGATCTCTGCCAAGTCTTCATGCGAGTAACTCGGCGTTGCTCCGTTCTACTAAAAAAAAAAAAAAAAAAAAATGTGCTGGAATAGGAAGAAACACATCTGAAAACATTGATACAGGAAATGAAATGTATTCCTAATAACAACAGCTGTCGCTGCTGCAACTCAAATGGCAGCCAGGGACTGTTGCAGCAGTTTTCCAAATGGGGGTAGCCATTATCATCTGGATAAAGCAAAAAATTTGTGATATCATACCATATAATTTTATATCTGCTGCAAAAGAGTTGCTTCATATGTGCCTAAAAGCTTGCTAAAATCAAAGCACTGCAGCTTGATTTACAGCACATTGAAGTCAATAGCTTGGGTTTTTTTTGAGCCACCATGTATACATAAAAGAGAGAGAAATGGAATACTTCAGCCAAAATAGTCTTCATGGAGTTCTAATGACAGCCTAGTTGAGATACAATGAGCATATTCAGTAAAGGGTAGATAATAAAAAAAGATACCACTCAAATACTAAACTCATTATTCAGTATAGGAGTTACTTCAAGTAATGCTACTCCTCCACTTAACACATTTGCTGCCATATACAGCTATAGTCATTTCGCCAGGGCCATACATGACTATTAGCAGTTTTTATGCCATCTTCCTAATAGTTATTTCTTCAAGAGATGTCATTCAAATATCTCCTAACCTACAAGGGTTGCATACAATATACCACACCCTTAAACATTACTGAAGGTATGTTGAAAATTTTCATTCATTTAAATCCCTGGCAGTGAATGTGTTAATGAATAGGCTGTATAATTCCTTCTCCATTCAGATAATGTGCCACCTAATATATGTTTAGGCATCTCCACATACAATTTTCTACTTCTTCCTGTGACCTCTTGATAAACTACCTCACCCCCAGACTCTTCTGCCAACACAAACACAAGGGAAGGAAGGTAGGGGGTTGGAGAGAATTACAATGATAAAAAGGTGAATGCTGATTTTGATCTTGAATTATACAAATACTTTAAAATAATTCAATTTAGGGGGGAAATTCACCACTGAAAGGTAGAAGCTCCTAGCCTCTGTGCACAAATGCTTTGAACAAAGGATGCATGGAGAGAAAACCATGCAAAGGAGAATATACCCTATGTGCATATAAAACCAGTCTATTTTGGAAACACCATCACACCAAAGCATTTCCATTTTGGAAAAAAGTCTATCATGAGTTCCTAACTTTTGCCTCAAAAAAAGCCAAATCTTAAGCTGCCACATATGCCAAGATTAGCTACCAGGATGTTAGCTACCTATTGTGGCAATTCTGATAGTCTATATGATGTTATTCTTATTTTTGCATAGCCATTGAGATGCAAACTGGACATGTCAAACAGAATGCTAAAGTCCACTGCAGCTTCTCTGCTTGTCATTTTACTCTATTTTCCAACATTGACTGCCCACTTCATGATTTCTTCTCTTTATTGCCTTGCCAATATTATGGATGTACTTCATAGGCATTTTGCCATCTATTTCGATGAGATGACAATGATTTCTTAGGCTAACTCTACTCCCAAAAAGAACACTAAAAATATCAGAGCTCAAAATGTTGAGGTCAAATCCAAAACCAATGAGCTCCCCAAAATCATTCGGGTAAGAGCAACAGCTGAAATCATGAATGACACAAAGCTTGGAATTCTTCCCCAAAAAGATTTTTGATGAATCAATATTTTAAAATACCAGCAGGTGAAACTTGCCATTTCCCAAACTTTGCTTTTTTACTCAATGTAAAAGATTTATCCTGTACTGCCATGATTCTTCAGAAGTGCTAATGACCATTGTCAATAAAACAGCTTCTGACAGAAAGCCTTATATAGCTATAGATCTCTGTGTAACTCCCCATGAGGGTGAGAAAAGGATACAATTGCTGACCAGTGGGTCAAAACAGCTTGAGCCTCAGCTACAAGCTTATCAATTTCCTCCCGCTGTTGTAGGTGCCTTGCGCAAACAATCTTCAGCCGTCCATCCAAATCTGATGCTGCTGAAATCACATGAGGTAATGGCACGAAATATAAATTTCAAAGCTATATTGATCTCCTTTTTTACGGGTATTAATTAACAAAAAAATTCAATCTGACACTGGATATTGAATATCAAAATTTTTTATATTTTGCCAATATCCAATATTTTAATATTGGATAATATTTTAATATAACTTAGGTTGATTTATTTAAATCAGGCTTGATAGAATGGTTTATGGAAGGCTCTGGTATGATTACATTAGTATAATGAAATACAATGGAAACCAGTCAAGTGCATATTTACTCAGCAAGAACATTTTATGCACATATACACATTTTGCTTAAGTACATTAATCCTGGTTCAATTTTTGCTCAAACCTTTCAAATAGCTATTGTAATTAAAGATAGAGAACATTTATTGTCACTAAACAAAACATCATTTGAAATAATCAAACATCTTTTTCTGGACAAAGTTTTCAGAAGATAGATCACAAAATTGATCCTCCAGTGAATCCATGCTGTTCAGCTCAACATTCTTGTGCTCAAAATAAGCATGATGGATGGTAAGAATGGCCAGTGCATCCTTGCAACTGGGTTGGGGTGGTAGCACTTGCCTTAGGCAAGGTCTCTCTGGGGCATGGGCTGAAAACAAATCCCAGTACTAGAGTTAACTGCTAGAGTGACATTTGGGTGGGGCCATCTCCTTGTGCATTTATCCGAGTACGATTACATACATAAATTGCACACCAGGCTTAAAAAACATGTGCACTTATGCAGTTTGTGTACTTATCCAGGTTTAGATCATGTACAAAACATAGGGCAAAAATTCAGGGCAGGGAGAATTTGTGCACTTATGCGGTGTGCCCTTATTGGGTTTCTACTGCATATGTATCGTAAAATCAATCAGGCTACTTTTCCCCCCAGATTTCAATTAATGATGAGGGTCATAATTTATCAATACTGGTAAATAATACCTGAAAAGCAATATATCTAAAATAAAATATCAGTCAATATAAAATATAGGCCAAAATCAAAACATAACAGTGTTACTATACATTGGTAAGTTTTATAAGATATGTGACACCTCATGGACATTGGTTTTGAAAGAAGAATTCATCACTAAGCCAAGGTAGGCTGGCAATGATAGACTGCCATGATGCTGGTAGGTATACTTTTTTTAAGCAAATTACTTACAATCAACTTTGTCACAATCTATTTTGTTCACTTATTCATGGAATAAAAATTAGACCAACTTTTCTAGCCTGAATATCTGGAAAAGAAAAGCTTACACTTGAGATGTTCACTGTTTAAGATGGGAGAAAGTTCCTTGGCCTTTTCCAACAGACTGTGGCTTTGCCTCAATAGAGGTTCCTCTGCAATAAAAATCTCTAGCTTTGCAGATGTTGAGAGGGTCTTCCCTTCCAAGTCAGCCTCAAGCAGCTTCTCCAACTCCCCAACTATGACAATTCAAAGGTATGCAAAGGCCTATTGCAAATATTCTAGCAGGCTTAGCTCAATACTCACTCACGCATATTAAAAAAATTACTAACATTAAATAATAGGAATAGGTCTAATAGCTTCTGCAATATTCAGTTTGCAAGTATGCCATGGTCAAATGACTTTTCTCCACAAAGGCTGGGTGCATAGCAGATTGAGCAACATGAAGGTAACATATTTTTGGTATTTGGAGGTATTTTTGACTAAGGGATTCACCCACCTCTCTCAAATGCTCTTGCTATTTTCTCTCGGCCAGCAGACAGCAAGGAAAGTTGCTGATTCAGCTTCTGCAACTTTTCTGAAATATTCTGAAAACAACGCTTTGATAAGCATCAGCTGAGACACATAATCATGTCTGCTTTGTGAGCACCATAGTCCCAGTTGAGAGCCATTACCACACTCTAGCTCAAAAGGCACTCACGGAGTCAGTGTCTCTCTTCTGATCTGGAGATTCACTGCAAGAGGAGGATCCATGAACTTGAACCTCTAATTGTCTCACCCGCTCTTCCAATTGCTTGAAAAGCATTGCATCACTCATTGGAGTTGGACTGGCAGTCATCCTACCATGAACAATTACAAGGGTTACCAGTAAGCTAGGCCTACATATATTAAGCTGCTAACATTTGGCTGAAGTGCAGACAAATGATTCAGCAATCATTAATGATTTAAATTGCTAATCAATATTGAAGTCGCACCTAAAACTTCAGGTTAAAAATATAAGTATGAGAATAAAAATGCAACTTATTCACCATGAAAAAACCTAAGTCAGACTTGAGAAAATGGCTAATGAAAAGAGATTATTACATTTTAAGAAAGTGAGATTATTATATTTTAAAAATTTAAGTAGAGTATCATGAATTGGAGTATTGGTAGCCTATTTTTTCATATGACTTTTACTAATAGCAACTGTTATGTATATAAATCAGAAACTATCACTTGCAAATGATTGAAACAAGAATTAAAACCAGGAAACTTCATGCAAGTTAACAACCAGAAGCATATGTGACATGAAGAAAAAATATAATTTTTACCTGTAAAAACCTGTATCTAATTAACAATTCATTGCTGCCCTTGCATTTAAGACCACCACCCAATTATTCACAAATGATGTACCAAAATGTATTCTAACTAAAATAAATAACTAAAATTTAACCTGCAGCAGAATTATCCCAAAATGATATCTTTTCTTTTTGGAAATTGAGTGGAATTTATAAAGATGCAACATGAAGTTTGTCAACAGAAATTATCTCAAAAGTCTTCTCAATTCCAATTCATAAAAATATGTCAATTTCAAGAAAAGTGATTAGCAAACAATTTAACATCATCTATACTTAGCAATGTGATACCAGCTCTCTCAACCTCTTGGTCTAAAATTTGATTTGAGGTCAGGAGATAGTGCTATTCCGCTTACAGTTGCCCATCGGACATAGTTAACCGTACACAGTGAGTAGGGTTGCCCAGGTGACTGTACCCCCTAGGGATATTGTGTTTCTCCTTAAGTTAGGCCAGGTTATATTAGGGGGGTGGGTGAGGTGTGTATTATATATAATAGGAATTCCTATCGAGACTTCAGGTGACTCTACTCATGCTTAGTTAACTGGACACGTTTGGTTAACAGTAAGTGGAACAGTGCTATTGGGTCTAAGCTTGTTGAACTTTCTAGAATACTGTCTCAATACTTTGTTTGCTAGTAAACAATGAAGTTTCCTTCATTGTTTACAAGCAAACAGAAAAATGAGAAAGGGCAGCACCAAATTCAAGGTAATCAGTAGGCCTATTCAAAATTTTCACAAAAACTAGGCATAGAATGCATAGGTTTCTGTTAAACACAAGAATCAATTATCATTACAAAAGTATTTTGACTACATCAGTATACCTTCCAAGTTTAGATCTTGCCCCTGAGAGGGCTTCTTTATACATATATATAAATAATATATATACATATGAACATTTATTTCATATATCAGGGAAATGGAAGAGTATCACTGAAATTCTTTTGTCATTAAAATTATTTCAATTTTAACATTCTACTAAAAAAAAAGCCAAATAGCATCTGGAAAACATGATGGTCCTTATCTTACAATCAATCTATAATTGATGAAAACAAAGGGCTTCTATTCCGCCATCCAGATCAACAAATTCCTTGCAATCAAACTAAAGTCCATGGATGAGATGAGAATTGGACCCTGAAATAACAAAAAAAAAGAACTTTTTTATGTACAGGGACTTTGAAGCCACCCAGTAGATTCACAGACTTTCTAACATTCCTCATACAGCATTTTACCGAGACTTCGGCCAAAACAGAATTCAGAACTTATTTTAAGAACTTATGGTAATATAAGCCAACATTGGGATTTGAAAAAGAGGAATAGGAGCGGGGAAAATAACACCTACTTAGGCGGCTTTTTCCTATCTCTCAGTAAGAGCTAAGTCTGAGTGATACGGAATTTTTTCAATCGAGTAACTCCGACAAGAAATTGATCGACACAGACCTGATATTAAACAATTTTCGAAAGAAGCGACCAACTCAGGCGTGCGGTAACATTCGCCCCAAGTGAAGCGCCATCTTTTCCATGCATGACACACCGGGGGCATCTTTTTCCCCGGCCGCACGCAGCTGCCGGCAAAAAAAGAGAATTCTTTCCGTCAATGCTTGAAATGACCACGACATTAAATGACATCACTCTCGAACAAGCAGCTGCCAAAGGAACATAACTGACTGCGAGAGCGCTGAGCAGGTCAACCGTAACATGAGATCAGGAGATGCTGGAAGGAATATACGAAAAAACGCCCACTGGAAAAATGCCTAGGGAAATAATGCCTACCGAAAAAAACGCCCACACCTGCGAAGCACGAAAAAATGGCCACTTTTATATTTTTCCGAATTTTTTTTTGCTTTCATTCTGCAAAAAAAAGGCATCTCATTTATGGCCTTGCCGAAATCGAACAAATTAAATGATACAGAAAACGTAGGCGACACTAGAAGCGCTTTTGCAAAGTGGAACAATCACATGCAAATTATTCTTGTAACGAGTAGCATGTCCCACTCCGCGAAGAAACTCCTCAATTGTTTTCTGCTTCTGACTAGGCCAGGGACAGTTTATGTAGTCGTTTCGATAGTTTTGTGTTGTGTACCTTCTTGGGAGGATTTCCAGTTGCGTTCTGCAGGATAGAAGTTGCAACAGAAGCATTGTCGACATGGAAGGCATCGATAGATCTTCATAGAGTGGGGTGTTTGTGGCCGACTATGTGAAGATGCTTATGATTCTATCCCATGGCTTGGTTATTGGTTCGGTCTGCTGCAGACCGTGCATCGTGGACGTTCCAGACATAGGGGAAACTTTGATGGGATGCAGCGAAACGGAACCACAGTACCATTCACTTTGAGTCGTCAGTAGCTTCCTGTGATGTATGTCAGGGACGTCATTTAGTAAAACTGCAGGGGGGGGGGGGCAAAAAGCTATGCAACTTGAAAAAACACAGTTCACTGAGAATTGTTATCGCCAGCTTCAATTTCGCGAATTTAAAGAGGCGCAGTCAATCGCGGAATTAAATCGCTTTTAAAATTTTTTCCGTAATGCCAAAAAAATACGAGGTGGTCCAGTTCGTGAAATTCAAAATTAGCAAATGTATTAATTTATTTAAATTTAGGTTTTAGTATATCGCGAAATTAAATCGGCGGCAGAAATCCTTCCTGCGGTGTCATGCAAAGTTGGCTGCAAGAAGACTGGTATTTAATTGGATGAGACTACATCCATGGTCGTACTCGGCAGCAGAAAATCTCTCAAATGAAAGTTCAAGAGACGTAAAGCAGGTTCGCAGAAGTTCTCTGGTTCATGCAAACCATTTTAATGCCCATGAAATCGATTAGATTTACGGCAATAGCGGATGGCGACGAACTTTCATTTTTCGGGAATTCGTCGATCAATTTACTCCGTGTTCGCTTTCGGTGCTGCCAGTGGCAGACGACTCGACATTTTTACTCTGTACTGTCTGACTTTTCTTTAACATGAAAATCATGGTGCACGCGAGCTCTAAAGGCAAGCTTATTACATTATAGGGAATAAAGGAAATTATTGAAAAATCGCTCCCAAGACAGTCGGGCGGCAGTTAGCTTCCCCCCCCCCTCCCCTTGCTCCCCCCCCTCCCCCCCTTGCTCCCCCGAAATGACGTCCTTGATGTATGTCTCGTCGAAGTAGCCGACCAAGCTCTCTGCGTCTGGTGGCGTGATGGTGCGAAGAAACTGCATCCCTCGTTCCACATCTGCAACAGGCAGGAACGCCAAACCGTCCAATATGCCACAGAAGCGCTTGAATTCGTCGTCCAGGCGGTAGCGGTCAATGAGGCCCAGCTCTTGAACCTTCTTCCAAGTATTCTGTGTCAGGTGAAAGAAGCACCCCTGCGTAATCACATGATCACCAAAGCATTCCCTAATAGGGAATGCCACCTCGAAGTCTGTGGTGACGACCAATGGATCCACAGGTGAACCAATCTCCTCGCACTTGCTTGTAATGGCTTGAAGTAGCTCAGCATAAACTTATTTTGTCTTCTGAAGAAAAGCGTAGACACAGGATACAGTGACGTCAGCCAAGGGAACTCGAACCACGTACACATACGTGAAGTCGCAGGGTGCCATGGGAAAGGTGCCATCCATGAACCACATGTTGCTGCTCGCAAGAAGTTACAAGCACTGATTTGACCCAAAGGCGATGATCCGTGAGTCAGACTCTGGGCTATTTTCGTAGAAAAGGAATGGTTGCGGATTGCCCACATGTCTTCAATGCGAAGGACCTTCAGAGTTGTTGGTTCAGTTGGGAAGAAACAGCTGCGTTGGTTTTGCAGAGTTCGTTTGATGGATGCCTCTGATGGGAAAATGGCACGAGCATCGTCATCCAAATGCTTCATGACTTGCGAGTAGATAACACTTGGCTTGTCACTCGTCTTCACCGCAACAAGCGTCAAGTGTCAAGACAAATGCCGTGTCTCATGGAGACACGACATTTGTTGACATTTGTTGATCTTGATAGCTGTCATGTCCGGAGCATAGTTGTATTCTGTTCCTGGACAGGGATTGGTGCAGTCGGCGTCTGTGAACGAAATTCCTCCACACAATAGCCACCAGATTTTGTCGTTCTTCTGGGAGTGCTTCACATACATGAAGCCTTCGAATATAACTTTCCGTCCGCCTTTCTGGTTCGTGATGAACTCCATGATTACTTGGAGAGAAATGAGTAAGTTTAAGACACCGTATTTATATATCATCCGGTCAAGATGGCATCTTGATCTCCTCCCCATACTTCACAGGTGGCACGAAGGGAATGTGAATCAATAGTTGTCAGGGTCTTGTCTTAAAACAATGTTTAACGATTTTTTCAGATGATCCTCTGTATGGAGCTTATCTTTCCGTCCTCCTCGGGATCAGTATACCCATACCTCCAAGATTATTGAAGGCAACCGGACATTCTCATGTCAAACATCGCATGTCACACTTCAATTACTCCATTGCTATTGAAATGAGTCCAAAGGACGGGCAAATTGGCAACATAATCCCACGCACTAAATCAGGGGCGGATTGGGACAAAAAAATCGGCCCTGGCCGATCCTCATTGATCCTCATTTCTGTGACTCCCCAGGTGTAACTATAAATGCACTGTCGATGCAATCAAACTCTTATACCTCATGAACCCCTTGAGTGCCAACCTTGAATTTGGTATCATTAGAAAGGCAATAACGCGCCCTTTTCATTGATGTATTATAAGTCGGGATTCACGGAGTGGAAAGTGCATTGTAGGTCATTGAAGTCGGTCGAAGTGTTCGAGCAAGTGGAATTTTGGCACTACTGCCGCAGGTAAAAATTCATATCTCGTCAAGCCGTTGAGTGCCAATCTCGATCTTGGTATCGTCAGAAATGGCATACCATGCACTTTTAAATGAAATATTGGAACAAATAATTCTCAGGTGGCAAGTGTCGATATTGGCCACTGAACTTGATCAAACTGTTTGATATAGTGGAACTTCTTGTTTCAGCTTAGGAGGATAATACTTGGAATCAATTTAATAAGGGCAATCTCACGATTGAAATGGCACCAAAATGAAGCTTATATCTTAACTAGAGGGGAAGTTATTGCAGAAACAGCTTCACAATTCCAGTCCGCTGGGAGCGAAAATTAGGTAAAATTAAAATGCATATATCTGGAGATCTGTGGGAAATAAAAAAAAATGGTTGAAATTATCTTATTTAAATCGATTCTTCTACGTGTATGGCGATTTTCGTCAAAATCCGAGATGGTCGAGCTTTCTCGCTGGACGATTTGACGTGGAATGACCCAGGAGTATCTGAACCCTTTGCGAAAAATGATTGAAGGCTAGCAGTTCCGTGAATTGAGTTGGGATAAAAATAGGAGACTTGGGATGAATTTTTCGCCATTCTTGTATAAGATTTGCGCTCACGCACAATTTACAATTCATCTATTCCGCTTTCCGTTCTATTATGCTTGAGAACTGCGTCGCATTCCTTCTCCGACAATTTTGGACATTCGTTGAAGTGTCTGCGTCCACGGCTTGGTACAGCAGTCATGTACCGCGACATCTACCTTCAATTAATTCATCTGGACTTGATTATAATTGCTCATTGCGATTAAGTCAGGACTCAGCTGGATTTCCTTATCGTTACTTTCCATTTCGTCAGCTTTTACTGGTGCTTAGCATCCAGGTTTTTTTTGCTCGAAAGTTCGACAAAAATTTCCGAAAGCCGTTTTCGAGAGAACCGGATTCAGAAGCATCGAGAAGAAACTACATACAAGGTGTATAATAAATATATTTATTTCTCATGTGTGGACATCATACGGATAAGTTAAGCCCATAGAAGAGCTAGTTTCCGAAAGTTAATCGCGTGAGGAATCCTCTCCCTAGACGACATAAAGTAGGATATTTCCAAGAAATTGAGTCTATTTTAATGCGAGTCCGAAAACGTCGGCTGCCACTCTCCCATGAGTTTCTATGATGTGATATACCCACATGTGTAAATCCCCCTTTTGAGCAGCAACTATTCAAAGCTATCGCAAGAAATAATGCCTTCCTTGTGAATGAAAGCGCAGCTAAGTAGCTGCTCCACAGCAGCACTGTCTGCCGGGTGGGGTAGGGGGAGAGAGCTGGAGGGTGGTGTAATATTTTATGAACAGCGTTTCAGCCTTCTAAGTGATTTCAATAATGGCAACGACGAATATAACCATCAGGCGCTGGTCACTTTCACCTGAATTTTGTCGTCAAGAAAGTAACACGTCAAATGTAAGGCCGCTGACCTATTACTGGGTTTGTTTCTAGCCTGCTATTTTCCTGATAACCATTTTAGAGACATTGATATACCCATCCTTCGTGAGTTCTACATCTGTCTTAAATGCCTCAACAGTGATTTTCACGCTCAACACGAATGCCTTGTACCGCTCAACTCGTAATTAAAATAAATTCTACCCTCTTCAGTGTCTCACTGCACTTTAAAAAATCAGTTAGTAAATTTACTCCTCCAACGTAACCCCCCGAAACCGTTGGACATGATCGCTGCTGAGAATCGACG